GTGCAGGAGGGGAAGACCCTCTATGAGATGGATTGATTCGGTGACTGGGGTAATCGGGATGGGTGTGTCAGAGGCGGTGCAGTTGGCGCAGGATAGAGCAGGGTTTAGGGCTGTTGTGCATAGTCGGAAACGACTCGATGGCACATAACAACAACAATAGCATTTTTATGAAAGTTTATTGTTATATTGAAAATGCCAACTAATTGGGAAAATCTGCTGTCAGCCATTTTTCCAGAGTTCTGAAGAGCAGCACTGTTAGAGACTAAAGTGTGCCTGGTCCAGGCCATTCTCTTTACAATTCCTTGCTATATATGAGAAAAGTGGACAATGACTAAGTTTAACAGAATAATCGGTGCCTTTGTGTGGTGGTGCTTGAGAAGAATATTGAACATAGAATGAACCGCCGAAAGAACAAATAGGTCCTGGAAACGACCAACTGAGTTGTTGGAGGTAAATATTTTTAAACTCCATCTCACATACTTTGGATATTTCGCCAGGAGGGACCAATCTTTAGAGAAGGACAAAATGCTTGAAGGGTGGATGGTCAGCACAGGAGAGGAAGACCCTGGATAAGAGGAATTGATGCAGTGACTGTGATAATGGGGGCAGGTGTGTTGGAGACAGTGATTGACTTAGGATAGAGCAGTGTTCAGTGCTGTTTATAGGGTCACTATGAGTCATAGATGACTTGACAGCTTATAACAATAAGAAGGAAAACATGCTGTATTAGAGAAAAAACCTTTTTGTTGTGTCTTTGTGTGGTGGTGGTGTTAGGTGCCTTTGAGTTGCGTAATGAGCCGTACGACCCTATGAACAACAGATCTGAGACCTGTCCTCTCCTGTGCCATCCTCATACTTCCTGACCCACCAGAGACTCTTGTAGCTGTCATTATGTCAATCCACCTTGTTGAGGGTCTATCTATCCTTTGCTGACCCTCTGCCTTTTGGAGCATCTTATCCCTCTCCAAGGAATAGCCTCTCCTAGCAACATACCTGAAGTATGTGAGGTATAGCTTTATCATCTTTGCCTTCAAAGAGCACTCTGGCTGCACTCTTTCCAAGACATATGAGTTTTTTTGGCAGTCCATGGGGAATAGTACTCTTCCAACATCATAGCTCAAAGGCATCAATTCTTCTTCTGCCACCTTTATTCATTGTTCAGCTTTTAGATGTATAGCAAGTGACCCATGGCCTGAATCAGACACACCTTGTCATCTAGTCTATCACAGTTACAGATTAGGTAGGTACTGTGTAGGTCTAAAAAGTTTATGATAGAATCCCTGCTGTTTACAGTATCATTGAGGGAAATAATGGAGACAATGATGAAAATAAGTAATAATTTTGAGCACTTAATGCATTCCAGGTGTCATTTAAATATTTTATTAAAAAATATTGTGTGTAGTGTATCAAGTCAGAAATGATGCATAGCTGATTCTCCAGCAGTTTTTAAGGGGCTGTGAATGGCTTGGAAGCAGGAGTGGCATCCACTACCTAAACAATATGCCTCTGGAAACTCTATGAACTTAATTATAGAAATGCATCAGGTCTTTTGTTCATAGAGTTGCTATGAGTTGTGCTCAACTCAGCAGCAATCAACAACAGCAATTACAACAAATGGCATGGGGCAGAGCCCTGGTGGCCTAGTGGTAAGAATACTGTAGTCCTGAAAACATGCTTTTTGAATCCTTGTTGCTCCATGAAAGATGGCCAATCTCCTCCCATGTGATTTACTACCTCAGAAAACCTGCTGGAGGGTCAGCTATGGGTCCCTTCCGACTCGACAGCACACAACAACAACAACAAACTGCAAGACCACCCCCCCCCAAAAAAAAAAAAAAGCAAAACCAAACAAACCCAGCAAGAACAACAAATTGCATGGGAGGAGATTGCCCATCTTTCTCCCGTGAAGCAACTGGTGGATTCAAAGAGAGTGCCTTTGGGTTGGCAGCACAACTCCTTACTGCTAAATCACAGAGCTTCCTATGTGTGTATAAAACATACATTCACCACTATCCTCCACCCTACAGATACTAAAGAAAATAAGTATATTATGGTGATATTGTCTTGTTCAGCATCTCAGACTATTGGGATTGGAATCTTGTTCAAATTTATGAAACCCTGAGGAAGCTTTTCTCAAGAATTTTAAGAATTATTCCTACAGGTTCTGTTTAAGTACCTGTAGTAATAGAAAGCTACCTACCTTCCTAGGCAACTAACTCTGTTTTGTGAATATCTGTTATTATTTAGAGTGTGCTACGGTGGTAGACATTGTTCTTACATGCTCAATGAAAGCTTGGAAGTTCAAGTCCACACAGAATTGCCTAGGAGGAAAGACCTGGTGAACTATTTCTGGAAAATGAGCTACTGAAAATTCTGTGGAGCACAGTTTTGCTCTAACACACATGCGTTGCCTGGAGGCAAGATAAGCATTACATCAACTTGTTTTCATTTGCATTTCTTATTGAGATTTCTTTAGAGTTCCTTTGCCCTTGTCTGATTCTTCTGCTACATGATAAGCTTTCACATTACGCTCTCCTTTGTCGGGACAGTGAGAGAGTTTATATTCAGTGCTCAAGATACTGATTAACACATGCTAGGCTTCTGTGGTGGCAGAGAAATAAAGGCTTCTTAGGATAGGAGGGATTGAAGGCATGCGTCTCGAGGAAGGTATGAACTTAGGCGGGTGAAGGAGAAGGATTTATTTCTTGAATTGTTTTCTATATAATTTACTTTGTGATGACTGAAATTCTCTGTGCCTTGTGTGTACCACTTAAATAAAAAAAATTATTGTTACAATCTGTGCTTCATACATAGTTGGTGCTAAAAAAAATGGTGGCTGCTCTAATCATGTGTGTTGTTACTGCTGTCCTCTTCCTCATTGTCAGGGTGAAAGGTCAGGAATGTAACTTTTTTAGGAGCTAAGGCTTCAGTTTAAGACTGAAAGGAAATAAGATTTATATTTAGGGAAAGATCTGGCTACACGACCATTTTTTAAGTAAAAGAACGAATAGAAAATTTTGATTATGCTGAAAGGATTTAAGCTGGCTACAGTGTCCAGGATGTGGGGTTTTCTATAGAATAAATTTTCTTTCACATCAGTATTCAGAAAGAAACTGATACCAGATTGTACTTGTGCAGAAGTTGTTTACTTTTAAGTAAAGGCTTTTTAAAAAAGGCTTAAACATTGGTATTTTTATTATGCTGGAACCCATTATAGATAGAAAAAAAGGAACATGCCACTCCACTGTGCCACTGTGACTACATACCTTTGAAAGTTGATTTCAGATGTTTACTGGTTGATGCATAAAACAGCAGTAAAGTAGTAGAAGTATTTTTTAAAAGCCAGTAGACATCGTATTTGTATTTTTTTCTTACCAAAGATTTATCATTTTTATTTTTAACAAGAATTTTAGAGCATAAGAATTTAATCGTGCTTTAAAGGAAAATGTTAAATTTTAAGTCAAATGAAATCTTCACCCAGTATTAGTTGGCAACATTTGGTTTCAATGTTTTTTAAAAATTTACTTATTTTAATGAACATTTACAGAGATTTATTTTTTTAAAACGATCTTAATAACTTTTGTCCTTTTAGTTTTGGTATTCATGTCACTGTTAATAATAGTTCATATAGCTTCAGCTAGCAATTATGTTTTAATAGCATTTGTCTGTAACTTTCTTTTAGAGCGATATCGAATTCAGAGTGAACAATTTGAAGATCTTTGGCTTGTAACAAATGAGCTTATTCTCCGCCTGCAAGAATATTTTGAAAAACAGGGAATTAGAGACTTCGCATGCTCTTTTTCTGGTTCTATGCCCCTTCAAGAATATTTTGAATTAATCGATCATCATTTTGAGGTATGTATGTTTATAACCTATATCATCCGTTTGTCTCTTAGCCATCTGAAGGAGAAGCTAGCTGCATAAGCTTATCAGGAGAACTCTAATACGGCGTGTTTGCACTGTGAGCTGTAATTCTTGTGCGGAGGGAGGATTTTGCGCATTCAGTCTACGCTCTTGCCCAGTTTGTGATCAATTGCAGACGCTCATGAGGTGGCTGCCTGGAGCTAAGCATGTGGTCTGGCCCTGTAACAGCCGATTTAATTCTCCCACATGGGGACTTAACCCTTGACCCCAATAACCCAGTGTTAAAACTATTTGAGCTTATCGGCAGCCATTTGGCTAACTAATTCTAGCAGGCCATAAATGAGGTGTGATTATAAAGTAAAGTGATTTTTCTTTTTTAACCCGCATACCAGAACGTCTACATCTGAATGAGGGTTAACCACTTAAACTATTCCCCAGTACCTTGCACAAAGGATGCTTGGTAAATATGAAGTGATTAAATGTCCAGATAAATGAGACCTGACAGTGACGTTCATGCCCTGAATATTTTCTGCATTTCCTCTTTGGAAGGGCCTTCAGACACTGAGATTCGTTTACGTGAATGTCTCTCTTATGCCAAGTCTTTATCTTTCTAGGATTGATTTGATCTTTGGAAATAGCCAAGAGTCATATTTAGTGAACTGATGAGACAATGACAGTCATTGTTTAAAAAATCCTAATGTGTTAAAGTTACCAGGCTCATTTATTTGTAATATAAACAGACTTTATAGATAATTACAATAGGGGAATTTTGAAAGAATTTTGAGCATTGTTCAAGTAAACTCTAGTGATTACTCTCCAAAAAGTCAGTAGGCATTTCAGTTTGTAAGTGATGTCTGTTTGTGTACGTGTGTATGTGAAAGAGGCACAAAATATCACTCAAAACATCCTTTGAACATTCTAACATTGACTTAAACCTATTAAGTCTTATTTTTTATTTTGTGCCATATTGATATAAAGGGAAAAATTTCAGGTGATAAAATGCAATTAAAATAATCCTTCCATTATCAAGCAAATTACAGTGATTTGGATTTTCCCCCATCTACAGAGAAAATATTGTCTAGTACAGTATGTCTTTGACCTAGTTGTAGCACCCAAATAAATACTTTTTTCAGGTATTTCAATTTTTTTTCTGGATTTATATTCTTTGCTGTTACTTAGAATATAATTTATGCTATTTCTCCTGGTGTAAAACTGTTCTAGTGGTTTACAGATTCACACTCACTACATATTTCTGTTACTTAAAATAGAGGATACTGGATTCTGATTTACTTGGATATACAATTTTTTCCCTCTGCCTTTTTTGATAATTTTCACAGCACCGATTATTTACTAGGGAGCTCTGGTGACCTAGTGATAAGAAGCTGCACTGGAATCCCAAAGGCATGCTGCTCTGTGGGAGAAGGATGGGCTGTCTCTTCTCATACAATTAACTGCCTCTGAAAACCTGCTGAAGGGTCAGCTATGGGTCGTTTCTGACTCGGCAGCACACACCACCACCACCAACATTATTTGTTGATTAGTAACTTTCCACATCAGGAAAGACTTAGGGACTATATGAACTGCAGATTGTTGCATCTAAACAAAACTAAAACCTATTGCTAGTCCATCAGAACCAGATCATAGCTAACCTCAAGGGGTTTGAGAGGCTTCTTTATATGTTACAGAAATAAATTCCCTGTCTTTTTCCTCAGATTCACTGAAGTATTTGAACTGAGAGAGGGGTACCACCTTTGCGTTGGCAGTGCAACTCTTTATGGGCCAGGGAGCCAGAGCATTTGTTACACATACAAGTTTAAGGGAACATGATTGTACTGCTGTGTTTTTGATCCACCTACTGCTCTTTCACCCATCACAGTTAAAATGTGGCTTAAAACTTTGAATCAAGGTGGAGTTTGGAATCTAAGTATCCTTTAGTGCCATGAAGGCAGAACATTTTGTATTTTATACTCACTGCTTTACTTTCTAGTCCCTTGAATAATGCTTATTGCCTAACACATTTAATAAATTGTTTTTCTGGCAAGTAAGAATGTTTCATTCACTGATGCTTAGTTACACATCGAAAGAGTCATCAACTGATTCGGTGTAAAATGGTGCAACCACTGTGGAAAGCATTGTGGCGCTTTCTCAAAAAGTTGCAAATAAAGACACCATTTGACCCAGCAATTCCACTACTGGGAATATACCCTAAAGAGACCATAAATGACATCTAAGTAGATATATGTATACCCATGTTTATCGCAGCTT